GTATGCTATAATTAATAACTTATAGTAATAAACAAATAAATGAAAGTAGAATGCTATTTCTTGCAACAGGTATGCTCCATCTGTGGATCCATCATTAACTATTGATTTCTATGAGAGAACTCATGATCAACAAGCCTCACTTGGATATCTTGTTGACCAATCACAAACAAGAGAACATGAAAATGATGAATCATCAAACAAAAACAATCAAACATCTCAACCCCATGGATCAGTTGGAGCAGTTGCTGGTAGGCGAGCTATTGCTCAGGGTAACACTGCAGAATTTGCTGAAACTCTTTTTCGCTATACTGCTCCAGAAGAGGTACTTTAATCATCTACCATGGAAAAGACCAAATTGCCCTCTAGAGAAAACGGACTGAATTTAAAGATTGCCTGAAATAAGGAGCAAAATGACAAAAATCAATAATACTTGGGGACCATTTTTGTAACTTGCTCTTTAGAGAAAGAATATATGTATAATGTATTTAACTTTATATATATATGAGTAAATTACAGTTTTGGTCCCTGTGGTTTGGTCAGGTTTACACTTTTAGTCCAACTTTTGAAAATTTGACAGTGGTTTAAAAAAATTACACTGCATGTCCCTGGTCCATTTAAAAAAACCAGTAATGTTTTTAAACCGACAAAATTGCAAAAATGGTCCCTGTGGTATGCAAATTTTTGGGGTTTTAGTCCAAACAGTGACTTTTTTGGTTTCGTAGTCCTTTTGGAGTGGTTTGTATGTGAAAATGGTCCCTCCGAAAATTGAAATGACTATAATACCCTTGGGGTATTTATTTTTCATTTTTCTTTCATTATTCTTAAAATTTAATATTTATTTATTTATTTTAACAATTAAAAAAATAAAAAAGGTTCCACCTCTCTCTCTCTCTCTCTCTCTCTCTCTCTCTCTCTCTCGTTCAATCACAAGTCCAACAGCTCACACTTCTTTTCATTTTATTTCGTGTATATCTTCTTGGTGAAAAACATCCATATTGCACCATGAAAAGTATCTTCTCTCTAACTGATATAGCAAAGGGGAAATTGTTTAGTATGTGGCCAGCACAATCCAATCCCGAGATACAAGAACCACACACCAATGAGGACATATGAAAACCTATATCAGCAAGGGATGAAGCAGTTGGAAACTTGAAATACCCCATTGTTTATACCAAGAACAGAGTGTTGATTCGCTTTCAATCTGGGTCATGACAGTGCAAAAGAGCCCTAGGATTTTCATATAGGAATTATCGGGTAAGAAAGGGTTTGTGGTTTTGATTTGAAATCAAAGATGAGAGACTTTAGGGTTTTCAGAATGAATTCACTTGTGTATCCTATATGCTCAATCGAGCTTTATCCCCCCAACAACCATTTACAAACATCGATCGCTGAAGTTTCCCTTGGGTTTGGTTTTCATACGCTCGTGTTCAACTGCGAGTCTGAATTTTGTTTTCAAACGGAGTGTATGAGGGGGGGGGGGGGGGGGGGGAAGAGTTGAGTCGTGATCTTCTTAGTCATCAAAAACTGGGTTCTGTTTGTGTTGATGGGTGATGTCCTTGCAGAGGGAGGTGTTAAGGTGTTTCTTGGTTGTGGTGGTCAATCTGTTTGTGTTGGGGGAGAAGGAATATTGTGAGACAGTGAAAACAAAGGCTACTGAAGGTAGCAGATTCAAAGGGAGAAAGATACGAAAGAGGGTGCGGGAGATTAGAGGTCACGATCTGGGTGTTGTCTTGCCACAAAATACATGCATCTGACACACATTTCCAAAGACGAGAATGTTGAATATCTTCTTTCTAAAGACGAGAATGCTGAATATCTTCTTACTTGAAACCCATTTCTATATGTATTTGTTTTCCCGCAAGTCTTATAAAGTAGTTCTATTCCTAAGATTTGAGAAAACCCAGAAACTTCAGAAAGCATATAATACCCCAGAACTTCATAAAGCAATTCCATAAAGCACTACTGCTTATTGTCTTGTAAAACTTAGATTTGAAGATTGTTGTAAAAGTGTCCCAAAAATGGAAGAGAGGGAACGAGAGTAAATGCTAATTGATACTGTAGATCTCCGACACCACCATATCCTTATACGATCTAGGTGGGTAAACTGGGAACTCACCGAATCTGCAACATGAACAAGTCTTGAATTCTGATCATGGTGTTGGTAGTGTATTTTGGTGACTAGAAGGAGAGATGGTGGTGACGAGTTAGGGTTTGAAAAAGACGAAGGTCATGAAGAAGATGATGGTGGGTTGTATCTTTGGGTATTAAAACGAGAGAGAGAGAGAGAGAGAGAGAGCCTTTTTTATTTTTTTAATTGTTAAAATAAATAAATAAATATTAAATTTTAAGAATAATGAAACAAAAATGAAAAATAAATACCCCAAGGGTATTATAGTCATTTCAATTTTCGGAGGGACCATTTTCACATACAAACCACTCCAAAAGGACTACGAAACCAAAAAAGTCACTGTTTGGACTAAAACCCCAAATATTTGCATACCACAGGGACCATTTTTGCAATTTTGTCTTTTAAACCACAAGGATGCATCTTGACAAATTTTCAAAATTTGGACTAAAATTATGAATCTGAGCAAACCACAGGGACCAAAACTGTAATTTATTCTATAAATAATATATGTTCTACTTTGTGCAGGTAATGACGTTCCCATCAACATGTGGTGCTTGTGCTGTTAGGTGTGAGACTCGGATGTTTGTGACCAGTATCCTTTTTTTATTTATTTTTTATTTTTAAGTATATAAATATTCCATAAATTCTTTTGCCACGTCAGCAATATATTACATGTGGGTATCCTATGCGGACAATGACATGGTGACTTGTGCCATGTCATCATATTGCCATAATGGGTAGATTTTTTTACAGTAAATAAATTGCAAATACAAGGCTACAATAAAAAAAGAAAAGGAAAGTACATTGCTGTTTTGTGCATGTGTCCCTTTTAAGGTTTGTTTAGCTTGACTTACTGACAAGAGATTCCATACTTCCAAGAAGTGATTGTGATGGCATCTACTTGTGATGCTTGTGGCTATAGAAATTCTGAGGTTTGTAGTTATTTTTGTACGCCTCTTTGCTTGTTGTTCAAGTTTTCTCATTTGCTTAGTTTCTTGCAGCTGAAGGCAGGTGGTGCTATACCTGCAAAAGGAAAGAAAGTGACACTGATTGTCAGAAACGTTAATGATTTAAGCCGTGATGTCATAAAGGTATCCATATATACATAAATAATCAATGACATTTTTTTTTTTGAATTTAGTTTCTTTGGAAAACCTGTGTTTTCTTAACAAATTGGTTTTGTGTGTTTTAGTCTGACACTGCAAGTGTAAAAATCCCGGAGATTGATTTGGAGCTTGCAGGTGGCACGTTAGGAGGCCTTGTGACAACTGTCGAAGGTTTAGTCACCAAAATCAACGAAAGTAAGTTTTTTTTTTTATTTTTTTATTTTTATATTTTTTTTAATCATTTTGACAAAATGTCAGCTTGAGGTGCTGATACTAGTCGATAACTAAAAAGCTAGCTGTTAGCTGGAAAAAAAATGACCATTGGTAATAAAATTAGTTGAAATATGTAAAATGACATAAAAATGACACTAAGACTATGTTTAAAATATTTTACTTTTTTTCAGTTATAAAGGTGACAAAATATGGTAAAATAAATAAGCTTGTTTGTGATTATGATTTGTAAATAATTACAGGTCTTGAGAGAGTACACGGGTTCACTTTTGGAGATAGTCTGGATGAGGATAGAAGAAGCAAATGGCTCGACTTCAAAGCCAGACTCCTCAAGGTATGAAATTATGAATCATGTAATTATCATTACAGTAAATTACATTTTTGGTCCCTGAGTGTTGCTTATTTTTTCAGCTTTGGTCCCAAAAACTTTTCTCTTGGAATTTTGGTCCTCATTTGAGATTTTTGTAATGTTTTTGGTCCAAATTCTACAAAAATTATATTCAGCGACCAAAAACAGTCATTTTCATTCTAACAAGGACCAAAAAAGTCATAAGGACCAAAGTGGCAAAATATAGTAAAATAAAGTCATTTTGACCGAAAATGTAATTTACTCTTATTGTTATCATTATAGGTATTAATCATTCCATCTTTGAATTTGTTTAGCTTCTGAATATAGAAGAAACTTGGACACTGATCTTAGATGATGCTCTGGCAAACTCTTTCATTGCACCAATAACTGATGATATTAAAGACGACTTTCAGTTAATTTGTAAGTTTTTAATTTTTTTTTTTTTGGAACAATTTCTTTGGTTACTGGTTTGTGACGTTGTTCCTTAATAAACATTTTCACAAGAATTGAAATATGGTTATTATTTTAAATAAAGTGATTTTGCAACATTTGTGATATGTTATTGTGCATATAATTGGCTTTTGATAAAAATGTATGAAAATTCCAGTTGATGAATACGAGAGATCATGGGAACAGAACGAGGAGTTGGGATTGAATGACATGGACACCTCTTCTGCTGATGTGGCATATGCTTCATGAAATCAGATGGCTTGTATCATAATTAAGTTTGTGTCATTTGTGTTTTTCAAGACTTTTTACTGTAAACTTAACGCCTAACTACTTTTTGTCTTATTATTTAAGATTTTACAAGAGACTGAGTTTAGGACATATTTCATAGTTATTTGTATAAGAAAATAAGAGATTCAAGTTTTTGTAGGCTTTAGGGTCGTGGGTATTTATTTATTTATTTATTTTTTAAATCAAGTTGTGAAGACACCATTTTTTAAAAGGATGTTGTGATACATAAATAAAAAATCTGACAAAGAGCATTCAAGACAAAAGGACCTTTAGAATAAAACCCAATTCAAAAACAAAAACATTCCTAAATAGAATAAATAGCATTAATTCAATGACATTGCTCTAGAGTGATGAATTGAATCTAATTCCTTGAGTGTCCAACTTAATTACTCCTCTACAAAATGGGGTTCCCAAGAAGTAATTTATCAATTACCATTTCAATATCAAAATGGGACTATCAAAATGGGAGGAAGATCTTCTCAAGAATGCAGATGCTGTTATAGATAAGTCCCCAATGGAACCCCTCTATGCTGGTGTGTTCTTTAACCAAAATAGAAAGGTAGACCTTACCTTCCATCTCAATCTATTCCTTTTTTCTTAGCATAAATTACCATTAATATCTACTTTCTAGTGTAAATTGATGTTTTTGTCATATCACTTATTTGGAAATGGTATACAAGTTTGGTTTTCTGTTTTTTGGTGGTAAATGAAAAAAATGTCCTCGGCATACATGGTATGGCCGAGGGTAAAATGGTCATTATACATGATACTTAACCGCGCTTCACGGTACAAAAACCGTGACCAAAAGGTAGTTTGAAGGACGATAAAGACCATTAATGAAAGTTATGCAGCATATTCATATAAGGTAAATACCACAAGGACAAAACTTGTTATTTAGGCTTTTTCTTATAAATGGTGATAGCATTCATATTCTGTTATAGGTTGTGTAGGTAAATGGTAGAATCATGTAATGTAAATTGTAAATACCACATCCTCGTATAATGGTAAATGACAATAATGCCATCATCTTTTTTTGGTTGAAATAGAAGTATTGGATTGACAAGGCAACATTTGGCAACTGCTTCATGGTTTTTGCAAGGGACTTTTCAGTCGCATGGGGCAGTGATAAACGTTATTGGGATTGGCCAAGCATTAAAGAAACAAGGTGATATTTACATGCACATGAGTCGAACAGATTTATTTATCAATGTACAATGAAAAAAAATAAAAATAAATAAATAACCAAATAGATTAAAATATATTGCTATTTTCTAAATTATATTGATAAGAAATGGTAAATGCAAAAAATATATAAAAAATTCCTTTGTCTATGCAGTGAAGTGTTTATAGATGTTGCGGAATTGCTACAAGTTAGTTGGTTATCGGTGGGGTCGAAATTTGACACAGCCAATTTAACAGTAGGAATGAATTATGAAGTTGTATTTGTGATGATGCTTAAAGAAGATAGTGATGGGTGGAGTGCTCCGGTCACTTTTAGACTCGACCTGCCAAACGGAAACAAACAACAACATGAAGAAAGCTTGCTTAAAAAGCCAAGATTGCAGTGGTTTGAGATTCAGGTGGGAGAATTTATGGTGGAACCAAAAAACGATGGAATTATCAAGTTCATGTTGGGAGAAACTAATTCCGGGGGTTGGAAGAGAGGTTTAGTCGTCAAAGGTGTGGTCATCCGACCAAAAAAGTGAGACTTGGGAGTTGGGAATACGCGAAATATCTTATTTGTTGGGATCTATACTTACTTATCGGACTATATTTGTTATGTAATAATGGTATTGGTTTTATAATTATAATGATCATTGAACAGGGATACGATATGAAGCTTAATTTCCATTTCTATATGAAGTTATAAATGGATGAGGAATATTTCAATGCCATCAATTTGGGTACTAGTTGATACTGATTGGATCGTATTTACTATTATAATGTATTGTGTATTATGTTATAAATAAGATGTGTATTGAGGTTCAATATAAAGTGTTTAGGTATCCGTGTACTAAGTGTGGGACCTGTGTATTATATGAGTTTATTAAAAATAAAAGTTTAATATGAATGTGTAAGCATAATGCTTAGGCCTGGTAATCGTGTCGTGTTCGGGTTGGTGTGTCGCGGGTTAACGGGTTAAAATATGCCAACCCAAACACATCTCATTTAAATATACAGGTCACGGATTGACGGATTTGGAACATAAACCCATATATGACCCGCCAACCCATTTATTTATACGGGTCACAGGTTGGCGAGATCGTGGGTCCGAATTTTTGAAATTTAAGTCTTAAACATCCAAATGAAAATTAAAAACATTCATAGAAACATGTTACAGACTTAGCTTTATAGGTTACGACTTACGACCTTAGACCATCCACCACGAGTCAAAATGTCAAAACAGTCAAATGGTCTATGAATCAGTGGTATATATTATATAATATTTATTAAATATTAATACTTGGTACATAAAAATAAAATAATTCTTTTATTGAGAATATAAATGGGTTGGCGCGTCACCTGTTTATTTTTTGAGTAATCTATATATGACCCGTTTAATAAACAGGATGACAGGTTGGTGGGTTGAAAAACTCAACCAAAATCCATTTATTTCGTGTCATGTCGCGGGTCGTGTGGTGGGTTGTGTCGAGAATTGTCAGCCCTAATAATGCTAAAATGAGACTTATTTTTGTACACCTCTTTGCTTGTTCTTCAAGTTTTCTCATTGCTTAGTTTCTTGCAGCTGAAGGCCGGTGGTGCAATACCTGCAAAAGGAAAGAAAGTGACACTGATTATTAGAAACGTTAATGATTTAAGCCGTGATGTCATAAAGGTATCCATATACATAAATAATCAATGACATTTTTTTTTGAATTTAGTGCATGTTTTTCTTAACAAAATGGTTTGGTGTGTTTTTAGTCTGACACTGCAAGTGTAAAAATCCCGGAAATTGATTTGGAGCTTGCGGGTGGCACTTTAGGAGGTCTTGTGACAACTGTCGAAGGTTTAGTCACCAAAATCAACGAAAGTGGGTTTTTTTTTTTGGTTAATCAGTTTGACAAAATGTTAGATTGAGGTGCTGACCAAACATACACTCAAGCTATGTTTAGGCTGATGACTAAAAAGCTAGCTGTTGAAATATATATAATGACATAAAAAGATATGTAGAAGATTGATTTTTTTTAAAGAAAATTTATAAAGGGTATATTTGGGAGAATTTTGAAAAATTCAAAGTTCTAGAACTGTCCCAAGAGTTATGAAATTTGCAAAATAGCCCTTGATATTTTGGAATTTCAGGAACCAAAACAATCTGTTGCACACTTTTACTTCTTTTGTGGTTTTAAAATTATTTACTTTTTTGTAATTACAAAGGTGGCAAAATATGGTAAAATGAATAAGCTTGTTTGTGATTATGATTTGTAAATAATTACAGGTCTTGAGAGAGTACACGGGTTCACTTTTGGAGATAGTCTGGATGAGGATAGAAGAAGCAAATGGCTCGACTTCAAAGCCAGGCTCCTCAAGGTATGAAAAATGTAGTTATTATTAGAGTAAATTACATTTTTGGTCCCTGAGTGTTACTTATTTTTTCAGCTTTGGTCCCAAAAACTTTTCTCTTACAATTTTGGTCCTCATTTGAGATTGTGTAACGTTTTTGGGACAAAATTATATTCAGGAGTCATTTTCATTGGAACAACGACCAAAAAAGTCACAAGAACATCAAATAAGGACCAAAATTGCAAAATTTAGCTATACCCAGTGACCGAAAATGTAATTTACTCTTATTATTATTGTTGGTATTATTTATTTCATGATTATTGTCATTGATATGTTGCAGCTTCTGAATATAGAAGAACCTTGGACACTGATCTTAGATGATGCTCTGGCAAACTCTTTCATTGCACCAACAACTGATGATATTAAAGACGACTTTCAGTTAACTTGTAAGTTTTAAACTAAAATTCTTAAAGCATTTGCTATGAAATAGCAAGAAATTAAAGAAATAACCATCAGAATTGCAGATGGAAGCTCCTCTCTAATGATTTCGCTTAGTGGGTTGTGATTTTATGGCTCATGAGCCAAATGTATTTAAACTCTTAGTCCCCGTGTGGTTCATGGATTCCTAAGGAATTAAAAGGAAATGGAATTTAAAATTCAATAAAAAGCATGTTTGGATTACCAAAGAAAATGATTGTGTTTTCCTTATTTACAATTATATTATGTATTTGACTCATTTACAATTCTTTAGTCAATAAGAAACTAGATTCCATCCTATATCTTTCATAAAAAGTCAAAATTGACCTTCCCTCCCGGTGTAAACTATCTACTGTTTTCAAAACATAATATCACTTTGAATTTTTTAATCTGATGTATCCGTAAGCATGTTGGAACGTAGGATATACAATTTCATAGGCGGATCCACGATAGATCACTGGGTATCCCGGGATACCCGTAAAAAAAAAATCGGTAGTATAATTTTTTTAGAAAAAATTCGTTTTATGTAGTGTACATATACATAATATTAATATGATTAGCGAGATAATAATACAAGATGTAATTGGTTCAGCTGGTTAAGGTGTTAGGGGATGTTTCCGGAGGTTGCAAGTTCAAATCTTCTTGTAAACATTTATTTCCTGTTATTTTCGCAGCTCATTTTCTATAGTTGTATACATATTATACCTATTATATTATGATGTTGTGAACATTATGCACAGGAATTGATTTGGCCAAGTGGATAAGTGTTGAACTTTTAAATTTGAGGTCTCTATTTTGAATCTTGGTTGTTTACATTGGTTTATTTTATTTTGTTTACTAGTTTTTTAACTTGTTTTTTAAAAAATTTAAAATTGTCCCACATCGACCATAACATGAAACATAGCTCTTATACATTTGTTATATAAGCAACACAAGCTTCTTAACTCTCAACAAGTTAAACTTTTGAATGGGTTTGGGTTTAAACACGAAACCGAGTATGGAAAATCAAGAAACTCGAACCCGGGATACCCCTCAACTTTGAACTGGGCTCCGCCACTGTACAATTTATCATTTTATAAGTTTGCATATAAGTTGTTTGTGTTTTTGTCTATGTGAATTATTTTTGATTTAATTTTTTTATTTGTAGGAGGGTGTTCGTCAAAATACATGTTAGTTATTTGTGTAATTTGTATTATGTAAAAGATTTTCATAATAATAAAAAATTAGTTTAAGGAATTTGGCTATGCTTATTAAAAAAAAGAAAAAGTTTCAACAATCACTAAAAGGGTATTTTGGTCATATTACATAAATTATTTTCCGATTCCTTTGACAAATCAACAAACCAAACATAAAACAGATTACATTTCATGTCAAGCAAATACATATCAGATTCCAATTTATTTTCCTTCAAATTCTAATTCATTTGTCAGATTCCATTCCTTTAAAAAAAAATCTATGAACCAAACGCCACCTTAGAAAAAAAAAACTAACTTCATTTTTCATATTTTCAAGCTCTATCAATTCTATCTCATGGCAGAAAATGGATTTCCATCTAATAATGTTGTTACTTAGAAAATATCTAGTTAATGTGTTTGTATTTTACTAGATATTGTTTACAACATCATCATTTTAACAAAACATAGTAGTTAATGCTTTAAAAACTTGTACTTTACACATCAAAACATGTATATGGTTGTGATGAAATCGTATATAGCATTGCCCATCTGCAATTATACACGTTTTTAATGCACGATTTAAGCATTAAAGACTTGTAAAATCACATATGGCATGGTAACATCCGTTTTTAGGGCCAACAGGTTTTAACCATTTTTGGTATGAAAATGAAATTGTAACGTCTCAAAACCCAAAAACAATTTTTTTTTGTTTTTATATTAAATCAAACATGTTTATCAAACCACAAAGTATTCAGAAAGTATCCATAAACATCCCAAAAGTACATTAGAGTTAAATAAGCGGAAAATCATGGTGTGCAATGTGATCATTTTGAGCTCTTCCCCTTCGCACCGGAAGTACCTGAAACATAAACTGCAAACCGTAAACACAAAGCTTAATGAGTTCCCTAGAATACCGCATACCATACATATATGTCAGCTCAAGGCTATATTGGGTCTATTTCACACCCGATTCTATTTCACTCCCGAATATATTTCAACTCATATGTCAGCCTAAGGCTGTATCAGGTCTATTTCACCCCGAACTATTTCATCTCATGTGTTAGCAAAAGGCTATACCGGGTCTATTTCACCTCGACTCTATATCACCCTACACACATATAGCATATAGACATACAATAATGAATGACATTTTTTTTTGAATTTAGTGCATGTTTTTCTTAACAAAATGGTTTGGTGTGTTTTAGTCCGACACTGCAAGTGTAAAAATCCTGGAGATTGATTTGGAGCTTGCAGGTGGCACGTTAGGAGGCCTTGTGACAATTGTCGAAGGTTTAGTCACCAAAATCAATGAAAGTGAGTTATTTTTATTTTTATTTTTTTAATCATTTTGACAAAATGTCAGCTTGAGGTGCTGATCAAATAGATGTTAAGGCTATGTTTGACAAACTAATTGATAACTGAAAAGCTAGCTGTTAGCTGGAAAAAAGACCATTAGTAATAAAACTAGTTGAAATATATCAAATAATATAAAAATAACCCTAAGACTATGTTTAAAATATTTTACTTTTTTGTAATTATAAAGGTGACAAAATATGGTAAAATAAATAAGCTTGCTTGTGATTATGATTTGTAAATAATTACAGATCTTGAGAGAGTACACGAGTTCACTTTTGGAGATAGTCTGGACGAGGATAGAAGAAGCAAATGGCTCGAAGGTTATTATTTTTGGTCCCTGGGTGTTGCTTATTATTAAGATTAAATTACATTTTTGGTCCCTGGATGAGGATAGAAGAAGCAAAAGGCTCCTCAAGGTATGAAAAATGTAGTTATTATTAAGATTAAATTACATTTTTGGTCCCTGGGTGTTGCTTATTTTTTCAGCTTTGGTTCCAAAAACTTTTCTCTTACAATTTTGGTTCTCATTTGAGATTTTGTAATGTTTTTGGGACAAAATTATATTCAGGGACCAAAACAGTCATTTTCATTCGAACAACGACCAAAAAAGTCACAAGAACATCAAATAAGGACCAAAATTGCAAAATTTAACTATACTGAGTGACCGAAAATATAATTTACTCTTATCATTATTGTTGGTATTAATTATTTTATGATTATTGTCATTCATATGTTGCAGCATCTGAATATAGAAGAAGCTTGGACACTTATCTTAGAAGATGCTCTGGCAAACTCTTTCATTGCACAAACAACTGATGATATTAAAAATGACTTTCAGTTAAATTGTAAGTTTTAAAAAAATAAAAACTTTTTTTTGGAACAATAAATAGTAAATTGTTATAAAAGTTTCTATTTATTTTTGTTGATACATGGCAAGTTTATTGAAACGATTTCATTGGTTACTGGTTTGTGGCAATGTTCCTTTAATGTTTCACTATTTTTCACAAAAGTGAAATATGGTTATTATTTTAAATAAAGAGATTTTGCGACATTTGTAATATGTTATTGCGCATATAATTGGTATTTGTTAAAATGTTTGAAAATTTCAGTTGATGAATATGAGAGATCATGGGAACAGAACCAGGAGTTGGGGTTGAATGACATGGACACCTCTTCTGCTGATCTGGCATATGCTTCATGCATGAAATCAGATGGCTTGTATCATAATTAAGTTTGTGTCGTTTGTGTTTTTCAAGACTTTTTCCTGTAAACTTAATGCCTAACTACTTTTGTCTTATTATTTAAGATTTCACAACCGACTGATTTTAGGCCATAATTTATACTAGTTATTTATATAAGAAAATAAGAGATTCAAGTTTTTGTAGGCTTTAGGGTCGTGGGTATGTTTTTTTTAATCAAGTTGGGAAGACACCATCTTTTATAAGTATGTTGTGATACATAAATAAAAAATCTGACAAAGAGCGTTCAAGACAAAAGGACCTTTAGAATAAAACCCAATCCAAAAACAAAAACATCCTTGAAGAGAATAAATAGCATTAACTCAATGACATTGCCCAAGCATAAGATTCCTCTAGAGTGATCAACTGAATCTAATTCCTTTAGTGGCCAACTTGATTAATCCTTTACAAAATGGGGTTCCCAAGAAGTAATTTATCAATTACCATTTCAATATCAAAATGGGACTATCAAAATGGGAGGAAGATCTTCTCAAGAATGCAGATGCTGTTATGGATAAGTCCCCAATGGAAGACCTCTATGCTGGTGTGTTCTTTAACCAAAATAGAAAGGTAGACCTTACATTCTATCTCAATCTATTCCTTTTTTCTTAGCATAAATTACCATTAATATCTACTTTCTAGTGTAAATTGATGTTTTTGTCATATCACTTATTTGGAAATGGTATACAAGTTTGTTTTTCTGTTTTTTGGTAGTAAATGAAAAAAATGTCCTTAGTATACATGGTATAGCCGAGGGTAAAATGGTCATTATACATGATTCTTAACCACTCCAAGGTACAAAAACCATGACCAAAAGGTAGTTTGAAGGACGATAAAGACAATTAATGAAAGTTATGCAGTATATCCATATAAGGTAAATACCACAAGGACAAAACTTGGTGATAGCATTAATATTTTGCTGTAGAATCATATGTAATGTAAATAGTAAATACGACATACTCGTATTATGGTAAATTGTTAGAAATATGGTTTAGTGGCACTTGGAAATCTGAGAATCGTGATAATCACTTTCAAATCGAAGTATTTGGGTGGTACTCCCAAATCCTCAATTGGATAAGACTCAGATAAAATCAAAGAGAAAGAAAGAGAGAATGAGATGGTGTAATTTTCGTGAGTACCAGAAAACTGACTAAAATTGGTTATATACATTCCTTGTCTGAAAAACTGTCAAAACTGTCATATAACAGTTTTCTCAACAGTCAAAACTGTTATAAATCCGGGTTTGGTATAAGGATTAATGCAAAGTCAAAACCAGCTCGATCCCAGCCAGGGGCTCTGCCCCTTGGACCCCGCCAGGGGCTGCTGCCCCTTGGACCCCGCTCCCAGGGGCGCTGCCCCCGGACCCCCGTTCGTTCAGGGGTTTCGACCTTAAATGACAGTGTACTTTGATACTTGATCAAACTTAAACAAGTGTGTACTCCACACCTTCCTTACTTGTTTAATATTTATCAATATCATTTTTAGTCAACAAAGTAATCCCGTTACACTTAAATAACATTGATGATAACAAATCACCAACAAATGACAATAATGCCCTCATTAATTATTGTAAATAGTAATGTGCTTTGTTTGGTTGAAATAGAAGTATTGGATTGACAAGGCAACATTTGGCAACTGCTTCATGGTTTTTGCAAGGGACTTTACAGTAGCATGGGGTAGTGACAAACGTTATTGGGATTGGCCAAGCATTAAAGAAACAAGGTGATGTTTACATGCACATGAGTCGAACAGATTTATTTATCAATGTACAATGTAAAAAAAAAAAAAAAATAACCAAATAGATTAAAATATATTGCTATTTTCTAAATTATATTGATCAGAAATGGTAAATGCAAAAAATAAATAAAAAATTCCTTTGTTTATGCAGTGAGGTGTTTATAGATGTTGCGGAATTGCTAATGGTTTGTTGGTTATCGGTGAAGTCGAAATTTGACACAGCCAATTTAACAGCAGGAATGAATTATGAAGTTGTATTTGTGATGATGATTAAAGAAAATAGTCGTGGGTGGAGTGCTCCAGTCACTTTCACACTCATCCTTCCAAACGGAAACAAACAACAACATGAAGAAAGCTTGCTTAAAAAGCCAAGATCGCAGTGGTTTGAGATTCAGGTGGGTGAGTTTATGGTGGAACCAAAAAACGATGGAATTATCGAGTTCAGTTTGAGTAAAAGTAAAGAGAATTGGAAGACAGGTTTAGTCGTCAAAGGTGTGGTCATCCGACCAAAAAAGTGAGACTTGGGAGTTGGGAATACTCGAAATATCTTATTTGTTGGGCTCTATAATTTCTTATCGGAATATATATAATTGTTATGTAATAATGGATAAGGATTCCCAATATTTCCATGCATCAAATTTGGGTACTAGTTGACACTGATTGGATCGTATTTACTATTTTAATGTATTGTGTATTGTGTTATAAATACGATGTGTATTGAGGTGCAGTATAAAGTGCTTAGGTCCCTAATTTGAAACAATGTTGATTCAATCATATTTATTTAGTAGATGGTCTACTTAGGCTTGTGTGCTTTAAAATTAACATGTGTATTAGAGTTTAATGGAAACATATATTCCAACTTGTATATAACGGATGCGGATCTCAATATACTAACACTCCTATTTGGGCTTGTAAATGAGTCGTCATATTTGCTATTTAATCGTCCATATATATATATATATATATATATATATATATATATATATATATATATATATATATATATATATATATATATATATATATATATATATATATATATATATATATATATTTTAAATGACCAAGGAAAAGAACAATCGTCAGCACCATATTATCCTGTCTGCTATGGAACATATGGAGGGTAAGGAATGATAGAATTTCAAGGATTTGAGAACTTATTACACAAAAGTAGTCGATAATATCATCTCGCTATTGTTTCTATGGTGTAACCAAGGAGTAGTAATTGATGTGGAAGTTGGGTTGAATATTGGTGTTGCTCGCCATTTCTTCATCTTACTAATGTTGTCTTGTAAATACTTTGCAATTTTCTTTTAAGCTCCTTGTACTACTCCGTTTTAGCTTCTTGCTAAGCATAGTCTTTTGCTTTGGTTATTATATATATATATATATATATATATATATATATATATATATATATATATATATATATATATATATATATATATATATATATATATATATATATATATATATATATATATATATATATATATATATATATATATATATATATATATATATATATATCGTATTTGCTATTTCGAAAATAAATAAATAAATAAATAACCACCACATGCATCCATTATCCTATTTTTAAATCTATATTTTTTTTTTGTCTCCAACAAGATTTGAACCCTCAACTTTTAGCTAAAAGTCACTTTTATGTCAACTCCTCATTTCTACTCCCTTTATCTATATTAGCAATGTAGAGTAACTTTATGAAGGAAAAGGAAGGATGTAAAGAGATTAGAGTGCTGAGACTTTTTAAGGAAAGAAATGAGAGGGAATATGTTGTTGAGTTTTTTAGGGGAAAAAAATACAAATTAAACTAAAATTCTTAAAGCATTTGCTATGAAATAGCAAGAAATTTAAGAAATTACCAAAATAACCAGCAATTCTGAGGTTTGTAGTTATTTTTGTACACCTCTTTGCTTGTTCTTCAAGTTTTCTCATTTGCTTAGTTTCTTGCAGCTGAAAGCAGGTGGTGCTATACCTACAAAAGGAAAGAAAGTGACACTGATTGTGAGAAATGTTAATGATTTAAGCCGTGATGTCATAAAGGTATAAATATATACATATATAATCAATGACATTTTTCTTGAATTTAGATTTTTTGGAAGACCTGTGTTTTTCTTAACAAAATGGTTTGGTGTGTTTTTAGTCTGACACTGCAAGTGTAAAAATCCCGGAGATTGATTTGGAGCTTGCAGGTGGCACGTTAGGAGGTCTTGTGATAACTGTCGAAGGTTTAGTCACCAAAATCAACGAAAGTAAGTTTTTTTAATCATTTTGACAAAATGTCAGCTTGAGGTGCTGACACTAGATGATAACTAAAAAGTTAGCTGTTAGCTGGAAAAAAACTAACAATTGGTAATAAAACTAGTTGAAATATGTAAAATGATATAAAAATGACCCTAAGACTATGTTTAAAATATTTTACTTTTTTGTAATTATAAAGGTGGCAAAATATGGTAAAATGAATAAGCTTGTTTGTGATTATGATTTGTAAATAATTACAGGTCTTGAGAGAGTACACGGGTTCACTTTTGGAGATAGTCTTGATGAGGATAGAAGAAGCAAATGGCTTGACTTCAAAGCCAGACTCCTCAAGGTATGAAATTATCATTACAGTAAATTACATTTTTGGTCTGAGTATAGCTAATTTTTTCAGCTTTGGTCCCAACAACTTTTCTCTTGCAATTTTGGTCCTCATTTGAGATTTTTGTAATGTTTTTGGTCCATATTTTACAAAAATTATATTTAGCGACCAAAAACAGTCGTTTTCATTGGAACAACGGCCAAAAAAGTTTCAAAAACCTCAAATAAGTACCAAAATTGCAAAAACTAGCTGTACTAGCGACCAAAAATGCAATTTACTCTTATTGTTATCATTATAGGTATTAATCATTCCATCTTTGAATTTGTTTAGCTTCTGAATATAGAAGAAACTTGGACACTGATCTTAGACAATGCTCTGGAAAACTCTTTCATTGCACCAACAACCTATGATATTAAAGATGACTTTCAGTTAACTTGTAAGTTTGTTTGTTTGTTTTTATTATTTTTTATATTTTTTTTGGAACAATATTGCTAAATAGTAATTTGTTATAAAAGTTTCTATTTATATTTGTTGATACATGACAAAGTTTATTGAAACGATTTCATTGGTTACTGGTTTGTGGCATTGTTTGTTTAATGTTTCACCATTTTTCACACAATTGAAATATGGTTATTATTTTAAATAAAGAAGGTTGCTATGGATTTTGCAACATTTGTGATATGTTATTGCGCATATAATTGGTTTTTGATAAAAATGTTTGAAAATTTCAGTTGAATACGAGAGATCATGGGAACATAACAAGGAGTTGGGATTGAATGACATGGACACCTCTTTTGTTGATGTGGCATATGCTTCATGAAATCAGATGGCTTGTATCATAATTAAGTTTGTGTCATTTGTGTTTGTCAAGACTTTTTATTGTAAACTTAATGCGTAACTACTTTTGTCTTATTAATTAAGATTTTACAACTGACTGATTTTAGGCCATATTTTACCGTTGTTTGTATAAGAAAATAAGAGATTCAAGCTTTTGTGGGCTTTTGGGTCATGTGTATGTTTTTTTTTTAATCAAGTTGGGAAGACACCATTTTTTATAAGGATGTTGTGACACATAAATAAAAAAATCTGACAAAGAGCATTCAAGACAAAAGAACCTTTAGAATAAAACCCAATCCAAAAACAAAAACATCCCTGAACAGAATAAATAGCATTCAATGACATTGCCCAAGCATAAGATTCGTCTAGAGTGATGAATTGAATCGAATTCCTTGAGTGGCCAACTTAATTACTCCTTTACAAAATGGGGTTCCCAAGAAGTACTTTATCAATTACCATTTCAATATCAAAATGGGAGGAAGATCTTCTCAAAAATGCAGATGCTGTTATAGATAAGTCCCCAATGGAACACCTCTATACTGGTGTGTTCTTTAATCAAAATAGAAAGGTAGACCTTACCTTCCATCTCAATCTTACACACACCCTCGTATTATGGTAAATGACAATAATGCCCTCATCTTACACACATTCTTTTTTTGGTTGAAATAGAAGTATTGGATCGACAAGGCAACATTTGGCAACTGCTTCATGGTGTTTGCAAGGGAGCTTGGAGTCACTCGGGGTGATAACAAACGCTATTGGAATTGGCTAAGCATTAAAGAAACAAGGTGATATTTACATGCACACTTGTATAGATTTTTTAAATGTACAATGTAAAAAAAAGGTTTTCCTTTGTCTATGCAGCGAAGTGTTTATAGACGTTTTGGAATTGCTAAACGTTTTCTGGTTAGCGGTGGAGTCGAAATTTGACACAACCAATTTAACAACAGGAATGAATTATGACGTTGTATTTGTGATGATGATTAAAGAACATAGTTACGGGTGGAGAGCTCCCGTCACTTTAACACTCATCCTTCCAGACGGAAACAAACAAGAACATGAAGAAAGCTTGTTTGAAAAGCCAAGATCGCAGTGGTTTGAGATTCAGGTGGGAGAGTTTATGGTGGAACCAAAAAACGATGGAATTATCGAGTTCAGTTTGAGTAAAAGTAAAGAGAATTGGAAGAGAGGTTTAGTCGTCAAAGGTGTGGTCATCCGACCAAAAAAGTGAGACTTGGGAATTGGACTATATTTCCATTTCTATATAAAGTTATAAATGGATGCATGAGGATTCCCAATATTTCCATGCCTCCAATTTGGGTACTAGTTGATACTGATTGGATCGTATTTACTATTTTAATGTATTGTGTATTGTGTTATAAATAAGATGTGTATTGAGGTGCAGTATAAAGTGCTTAGGTTCCTAATTTGGAACAATGTTGATTGAATCATATATTTATTAGATGGTCTAATTAGGCTTGTGTGCTTTAAAATTAACATGTGTATTAGAGTTTAATGGAAACACGTATTCCAACTTGTACATAAGTAACGGATGCGAATCAGAGACGGAGGTAGGCAGTAGGGGGTTGCCGGATGGTCCACTGTACGACCCAGGCAAGAAGATTTGGTCAGGTTTATGAAAGGCGCGACAGGAATATCTTAGATTAGGATTAGGATAATTTTGATTATTTGTGTTTAGTCTTTATCTTTTATGTTAGTCTCTATCTTTTTAGGATATGGTCAATATCTGTTGGAGTCTAATTAGGTTTGCTAGCTAGACATTATAAATCGAGTTTTATAGGATCTTGTTTGGGGATTATTGAATGAATAAAACCGTGAGGTGTTTTGTGGAGTATTCTTGTGACTCGAACAACAGGCAACAGGAAGGGAACTTGGGTTACCTGAGTTCATACCATTTGGTATTAGAGCGAGGTTCTTATGACAGAAAAATTGGAGGGGAAGGGCACCAATGCCGAAAGGCTTGCTGCGCTTGAGGGATCCGTCAATCAGGTGATCGATGCATCTGAAGTAGCTCACCGTGTGGAAGTGGCAACACAAATGCAGGTGCTCACCAAAGCCGTTTCAGACTTGACTGAAGCGATCAAGGGACCAAGGAAGAAACACAAAAAATTATCCCACAATTCCTCTTCTGATTCTGGGGGAGAGTGAGGATGATGAGGACGAGGAGTCTAGCGAATCGGACAACAATGCTAATAACGACGACTCAAAGCGAGCCAAGAAGAAGAAGAAAAAGCGGGATCCTTTGTTTGATTGCTGGAAATTGAAGATTCCTGTCTTCAGTGGTGCAGATGTTCACGGATGGATTTACAAGGTTGAAAGATACTTTGAGGTCCATAAGTTTGGGAAGAAGGATCAGTTGTGGGCAGTAGCAATTTGCTTAGAGGATGCTCCTTTGACATGGTTTCGCTGGAACGTTGCCAAGAATCCTTTCCGTTCTTAGGGAAGGTTTAAACGCAAGCTCCTTGAGAGGTTTCAGGGGTCGTGTGAGGGAAGTGTTCAGGAACAATTCTGGGCCATCCAACAAACAGGGACGGTACGAGAATACGTGGATAGATTCGAAGGATTTGGAGGACAACTACATGACGTTTCAGAATCAATTCAGGAGAGCACATTTATTAAAGGCTTGAAAGAAGACGTATGAGCAGTAGTGCGGATAACAGAACCCGATTCTTTATCTCAGGCGATTCGAATCGCCATGAAAATTGATGAGAATAGGGTTGGAGGGTTGATAAAAGGGACAAACAACTTATCTAGGTCGGGTTATGGCGCCCTGGGCAAGTCCAACACGTCGACCACTGTTGTAGTGATTAGGGTTTAGTAGGAGTTAAGCTGGGTAACGGGTTGATAACACGGAGCCATGGGTGTTGCAAAGATGTCCGTCTTGAATTACCGGAGGTTAGGATTGTGGAAGATTTTGTACCTTTTGAACTAGGAGTTTCAGATGTCATATTAGGTGTCAAATGGTTGCAAACGCTTGGTGACATGACAGTCAATTGGTTGGAACTTCAAATGCAATACTGGGAAGGTGATAGGTTGGTTACCCGAGCTTATCAAAAACTATGGTCTCGTGTGAGACACTCCACAAGTTAATGCAACAGAAGGGGGAGGGATATTTAGTCCATCTTCAGGCGAAAGGCGTGGTGCCTAATCATGTTGTGATTCCCGATCTGGTTATCAAGTTGTTGGAGGTGTTTCAAGATGTTTTTGAAATGCCTGGTGGTTTACCCCCCGAACGTTGCAAAAATCATGCAATCATTTTAAAGGAAGGTACCCCGCCCGTGAGTGTAAGACCTTACCGATACCCGCAAGTACAGAAGAATGAGATAGAACGACTGGTCCAGGAAATGTTGGATGCCAGAATTATTCAGCCGAGTACTAGTTCTTTCTCTAGTCCCGTGCTGTTGGTTAAAAAAAAAGATGGTAGTTGGCGTTTTTGCGTGGATTATAGAGTACTTAATAAGGCAACGGTTCTTGACAAGTTTCCTATTCCCGTTATAGATGAGCTTTTGGATGAGTTGCATGGGTCGGTTATATTTTCAAAATTAGATTTAAAGTCCGGGTACCATCAGATACGGATGAGAGAAGAAGATGTTCATAAAACTGCTTTTAGGACTCATGAGGGGCACTGTTAATTTCTCGTTATGCCTTTCGGGTTGACCAACGTCCCCGCCACATTCCAATCATTAATGAATTAGGTATTCCGACCGTTATTACAACGATTTGTACTCGTTTTCTTCGACAATATTCTCATTTATAGCAAGTCCCGAGATGAGCATGCGCGTCACTTATCTTCGGTTCTACTAAAGATGAAAGAGCATAAACTTTTTGCAAATAAATACTCGTTTGCCCAAGATCAAATTGAGTATTTAGGGCATCTGGTTTCGGGGGAGGGTGTATCGGCTGGTCCCTTAAAAATTAAAGCTATGGTAGAATGACCGAGTGTTGTAAAACTCGCCAAGTTGGCCGAGTACTTGTCCGGGTACTCGCTACTCTGCCTAGGTGAGTTACAAAATCCGAGTACTCCCCGATCGGCCCCTTATTGAAGCGAGCACGGTTGTAAAACTCGGCCAACTCAGTGATTTATATGCATAGTATACTTAATGATTTATTATTTAACACACACATATGTGATTATTACTACATATATATCTTAAATTTTCAATACTTATTCACAAAGTTGGACCATTTTGTGTTTTTTTAGTTTTTGTGTATTCAGACGTATCTAATTTTGTTATATATTTCATTCATTTTATGGTTTTAACTTATGATTTTGACATATATAATTTCCCTAAAAATATTTATATATGAATTACTGAATCCGAGTACTCCCCGAGTACTCCCAAGTACTCGCTACTCGGTAGTCGGCCGAGTAGGTACCGAGTAGCGAGTTCTACAACCATGGAATGGCCGGAATCGAAAACGCTTCGGGAATTACGTTGGTTATTAGGACTGACGGGTTACTACCGCATGTTTGTCAAGGATTATAGAAAGATTGCAGGACCACTCACGGATCAGCTCAAGAAAGATAATTTCCATTGGAACCAGGAAGCTTCACAAGCTTTTCAGCAATTAAAGACTGTTATGACTCATGTTACGGTGTTGGCCTTACCGGATTTTACAAAAAACGTTTGTGGTAGAAACTGATGCTTTGGGGGTTAGTGTGGGTGTAGTACTTATGCAAGATTCTCGTCCAATTGCTCACTTTGGTCAAGTTTTGGGTACTCGGGCATGTCTAAAGTCTCTATATGAGCGCGAATTAATGGCCATTGTCTTTGCTATCCAAAAATGGCGACCTTATTTGCTCGGGCGAAGGTTCGTGGTTCGTACGGATCAGCGGAGTTTAAAATATTTGTTGGAATAGCGCATCGTGACTGAAGACCATCAGAAGTGGCTGTCTAAGCTTTTAGGATACAACTTTGACATTGAGTATCGTCCGGGACGAGAAAACAACGCAGC